GGCGCGTGCACTCGCCAGACAGACAGAGACAGAGAGACAGAAAGCGAGAAATCACCCTCCCAGCAGGGGTGGTCACGCCGCAATCCCTTCTCCTCCATTCTCCTCTCGGGATCTTGGGAACGCATGCACACGCACCCAGCGTGAGTTTTAAGCCACCGGGTCCAGGACTCAAACCGCGGTCGACTACGTGGGAGTCCAGTGACATAGCCATTACGCTAACTGCTGGTTCCCTCCACTACCATTTCTTGTGGGGACAGTCATTCTCTGTTCCCCGTGGGGAAGAGCAGAAGAGAAACTTCCCTCTGACAGTGTCAGGTAAAACAGGGACCTTCCTGAGTTCCTGGCTCATTGGACCTGGTGAGCAGTGTGAATCTTGCGTCCACCAAGATGGCTTTTTCCCTTTTTCCTTTTGCTACCAGGAAGTGTACAGCTAAAACTGAGTGCTAAATTTAGTAACCGACTAGAACTTTTCAGCATGAATTTCTATCTATTACCTCTATCTCTGCCCCATAGTCCATTTTTCGCCCCAATTTTATCTCTAGTTTTCTATCTTACTGGGCACAGCATGTTCTGATAAATCACTCAAGTCCTGTGGGGAACAAGGAGAGAAAGAAGGGAAAGAAAGGAGGAGAGGGAGGGAGAGGGCAGTACTCTTTCACCCACGCTGCCTGGTAACGACTGTCAGGGTGTCACAGGGACAAGAGCCAGACCTGTCTTTCTCTTCCAGCACCAGAACCATCTGCAGGTCCCCCTCATGCATCATCTTCATCTCTGCAAGTTTGCTTTCCAAGCTCAACCGAAGAGCCTTCTCCGTTTCGGTCCCCGCAAAGGCCTTTTCCAGTTCTGCTTGGGCGGCTTTCACATCCTAGAGTTAAATTAAATGCATTTGATGCAATTTTTCAATACAATTGGGAACATTTTGAAAGGAAATTGGATTAAAATATAAATATTTATGACTTTTTCTCCAGCACATTTCCCCTCCCTGAATTGTACTATACATGGAAAGAATCAGTAATAAATACATTTGCCAGCCATTTTTCCCTCTGTGTCCTGAAGACTAATAGGCATTTCCAATGGAAAAGACCTACCTCTACAAGAACTATATTTCTGGTTTTGCAAAATCAGATCGATATTTACAGCTTCAGTGAGAACAAGGAGAAATGCGTACCTCAATATTAAACATACATAAATTCCAAAGAGTCACCACAATCTCCACACAAACTCATCCCACACCCCACCAGCCCCTTACTGTTTTTTTTCTTTTTAAAGATAATAACTATGCACTTCTAAAGTATCATTTCTTTATCTCCTAGGTGATTTAGGAGGTGGAGAAACTCAGTATTCTTCCCTGAAAGCTCAGAAACCAACAAGCAAATCATCCAAATTGTGCAGGTAGTGCATGTGTTAGGGGAAAGGGTGCTCGGGATGGCGACCCGGGAATGGAAATGAAGAAACGCCTCTCCAAGCACTCGTGCCAACTGCCTCAGACTGCATCACAAGGACAAAAGTCGAGCTGAACTGGATTCAAAACCCAGTTCTCCCACTTTTTGCCGTGTGACCTCAGGTAGTTACTTAACTTCTCTGAGCCCTAGGTTCCCAACCTATAAAACAGGAATAACCACCATCCCATCAAACAGCTGTTAGGAGACTCTGTCAAATGTCTGATACATCACAAGCTCAAAAAAAAAAAAAAAGATGGTTTCCTCTGCCCTTTCCCTCCACAGAGTTTCTTCTACCACGGTCTCCCTAAGAGGCTTGCTGCTGGATCTGGATCTCAATGCAAGCTGGGGAAAATCACTTCCCATGTTCTTAGACAACAAATGAGCAAGCCTACAATCTACAAGGTGCCTATCAAATGGCAGGCTCTGAGCAAGGAGCTTTATTTATATTATCTTGATCCTCACCCAACCCTAAAAAGATATATACTGAAAAGTAGAGTACTTCCCCTGAAATGCAGGTCTGCAGCCGGGATGCCGGGTTTACTGTTCCTGTGACCTTGAGCAACTGGCTTAAGCAAGGGTTTTTATCATCTATTTTAAAAAGTGATAAAGTCTTTATCTCACAGGTTTACTAAAAGGATTAACTAAGTCAGTGCATAGGAAAAGCTGGAAACCATGGGCCTGCTACTGTCAGTACAACCGCTGCTGCAAGGCAGGTATTGCCCCTCACTTGCAGATGAGGAACAGAGGCTCAAGGTGACAAAGCTAGAGACAGAGCAGGGATACGACACCCCAAAACACTAGGAAGCACCTTACTATGAAAAAAAAGATGACTGAACCAACAGGTTACATTTCTTGAAAGTCTCACTACTGCATGGGGGCAAGCAGGTGACATAGCGGGTAAGTTGCTGGACTCCCACATGGCCGACCTCAGTTTGAGTCCCGGACCTGGCGACTTTTGTGCGTGTCAGTCATACCAGGCAGGTGTCCGTCATGCCCAAAATTCCAAAAGGAGAATGAAAGAGGAAGGATTACAGCATGGCCATCCCCTTGGGGGATGATTTCTCACTTTCCCTTTCTCTCTGTCTCTGGCTCTCTCTGGCGAGTACATGTGCCCTGTGAAAAAAACGTCAAGTCTCACCACTGCATTTCAACTAAAGTTCAGGATGGGCTCAGAAGACCTTTTGATTCCAGCTCCACCTCTTAAGACCGAGAATCAGTTTTCCCATCTCTGAGCCTCTGTTTCCTTGCCTGTATTTTGGGCCTGATATCTACACATCCACCCCCAAGGGGAAGATGTAAGGGCTGATGTGAACATCATAAACTGAAAATTGTAAGCTACAAAATACAGTTTCTGCTTTTCTGTATCCAGAAGTGCCTTTTGGTATCATTTCTCTTCATATCTACTAAGAATAATCAGAGCGTCAGGTAGAGATGTTGAGATAAAACACCAGCTTTCCAAGACCAGGGATTACATCATTAGCACTAAGCCAGGCACAGTGGCATGCACTTATAATCCAAGCAACCAGGGAGGTGAGACAGGAGGTCTGCGAGCTCGAGGCTGGTCTGGGCCTTGCAGCAAAATTCTGCCTAAAACAGAGCCAGAGGTGGTGGTGTGGGCCTGTGGCCCCAGCTGGGAGCTGAGGCAGAAGGGTCATAACATAAAAAGACCTTGTCATAATAATAATAATAAAGTATTACTTAACAAGTGGCTTAAAATGGAAGAAAACCTTCTAACACTGACAAGACAAGATTTTAGCCAGGGACCATCCCGACTCCCATCGCAGTCCTAGGAAACACCTGAGACTAAGAAGGAGCAGCTACTCGCAGTGCCTAATGAAGAAAGGACATTTGGGACCAGCAGTTGGCGTAATGGCTATGTCACTGGACTTCCATGTAGTCGACTGTGGTTTGAGTCCCAGACCCAGTAGTTTAAGCTCACGCCGGGCACATGCATGCCCAGGATCCCAAGAGGAGAATGGCAGAGAAGGGACTGTGGCATGGCCACCTGCCCTGGGGGGTGATTTCTCGCTTTCCGTCTCTGTATCTCTCTGTCTTTCTGGCGAGCGCATACGCCCTATAGCAAATACTCTCCAAAAGAAAAAAGAAAGGACACCTAACGAGTGCTGGTGGGGTGGCTGGATGGAGGCTGGATGCTGGGACAGGAGACAGGTGGCCAAGCACTTGCCTCAATGTCAGGAAATCTGGTCCAGGCTTGCCTAACGTTAGGTCAGTGGCGTCCCCTCACTGGGCCTCGGCTTCCTCATCTTCAACATAAAGGGACTAAACTAGATGATAAGCGCAGTGGTGGTGTATGAAGGCCAACAGTCAGAGGTGTAAATCCAGGATTAAACCGAGAGTAGTCAGAACCTCTCCCTATTGTGTCCTTCAGCAGAACGGAGTCGCCAACAGCGCCATCTGCAGGGTGGAAAGGTTAGTTATCCGCCCAGCCGACACTCAGTAAGGGTGCTGCTGTTTCCTTTTTTTTTGGGGGGGGGGGGGGTGTTTTGGTTTGTTTTGT